CACTTCATGGCGGAGTAAACGTCGACCGGTGTGTAAGGAACACCCTTGTAGAACGAGCAAGTTCTGAGCGAGAGAGCGCAGGATCTGACTTATATTTCTCGCACAAAGACTGCTTTTGTGCTAGAGTTAGCGACATGTAGGAGGAAGGGCGATGTCCCATTGTCTTTGGCGGTAAAAAAAAGTGTTTATTTGTAAGAAGACGTCCGCTCCAAAATTTAAAATCAGATCGATGCGGCGTGTCACCCCTCCCCGAGGAGGGGAAACCGTTGAGGTTAATGGGCATAGGTAATTGCGCATCCGATTCGCGTAATCATAAAATCTAGCACGGTATCGACTGATACCGGTGCCGAATTGGAGGTGCACGACTGTACTGAGGATGGGCTCACCCTAACCGGCAGCCTTACCAGCCTTAAAAACCAGTCAGTCTACACGATGGCGCGAGCCACAGGCATCCCTGACATCCCAGAGGAAACAAGGCAGGCTATCGCGCTGTATCTCGCAGAGTGGTCCGCTTGCGGCCGTATCAAGCGTGGAGCAGCATCGGCTGCTGCCAAACGGTTTGGGTGCTGTCGTCAACAGGCGTCCAAGTTCTTTAAGGAGAGATTAAAAGACCTACCAACGGCAAAAAGAGGGAGACCGTCGCCTCAAGTCGACACCACTAGGATTGCCAGACGAGTTGCTCGAGTATTTGCCACTCCACTTCGTCGCCGTTGGACGCTTCGAGCCCTAGCTCATTCTGCTTACATTCCAAAGACTACGCTGCTCAGATACATGAGCAAGCAGTTTGTAAAGCGAGTGACCGTCCGCGTCAAGCCGACGCTTTCGGCTGAGCACAAGCGAAGGCGTACGCGTTGGCGCATATTGACCGCCCAATAGGTACGACATATCTATGCTATAATTTATATTAATGATAACAATTGTTCCCGTGTCATATTACTATTATAGGAGGAAGGTTGCACCGTGTGCACCACACGTATGATACAGTTCATATAGATGAAAAATGATTCGACATGCACAAGGCTAGCACCACATTCTACCTAACAGCAAGCGAAGACCATACACGTCCTCACCAAACAAGAGGTGTATAGATAAGGTGATTTTCTTGGCAGCCGTAGCGAGACTTCGCTACGACAACCATCGAAAATGCCATTTTGATGGCAAAATTGGTATATGGCCCATTGTCGAAGAGACTGTGACGCTGCGTACTTCGGTGAATCGCCCCAAAGGGACAGTCATTACGAAATGTATTGCTGTCTCACGGGAAGTCTATACGAAGATGCTCATAGACCGTGTCTTCCCAGCTGTCAGAGCTGTTTGGCCAGGTTTGATAGTAGTACTTTTTGGATATATTAATGTAACTAATACTGTTGTTACTAATACTTTATATTTTTTTATTAGGCGGTAAACGTCGTGCTATATTTGTGCAACAGGACAATGCTGGTCCCCACGTCGTCGAGTATGACCCTGTTGTAGCTGCCGCTGGCGTTCAATATGGTTGGACGCTAAAAGTAAGATGTCAACCTCCCCGCTCCCCAGATATGAGCGTGCTCGACTTAGGTTTCTTCAATTCAATCCAGTCCCTCCAATATCAAGAGGCAACCTACACCATCGACCAGCCAATAGCCACTGTTGACCGTGCATTCAAGGCAACTACGTCCACGACGCTTGATCACTGTTTTATGACGTTACAAAGCGTTATGGAAACAGTGATCAAGCACCACGGCAAGAACGACAACAAGTTTTAGCATTACCGAAAGCGACGAGAGCTGAACCCAAACACGACGCCGTTATCGTTAACTTGCGATGCAGATGTGGTTGAAAGTGGCATTCACCATCTTCTTGGTGGTTCTCTTGAGCATATCTAATACTTAGTTGAACTTGGTTTAATTTCTGGCTTTAAAGTACTGGTCTTACATTATTGGCCGAAAACGTACGTTTCAAACTATCATTTACCGTATATCAGCTTAACAACAATAAAACCTCGTGTTTTTCCAGGCTAATTTCTATTAGTTAAGGCGATCATTCGTGATACTTTTACCGTAATCTGAGCAGCCGCAATCTCCGGTTTATGCTGGTAGCAATTAACTCTCGATACGCGTACTGACAATCGTTCTGCGAAAAAAACCTCGTGGCCCTCCACAGCGCCTGCTTTGCAGCCATGATATTTAGTTCATTTGTAGAGTTAAAAGTATAAATAAAAACGAGTACAACAATCACAATGTAGGCTATCGGATGCAGGTTTCCACGTTGCGGCACGATGTTTACATTTAAAGTTACAGTCACGCCAGCGAACGGTT